GATGTCATGCTTGGTAGTGTGGAGGGTCGACAAAAGAGGGGGAGGCCTTCAACGAGATGGATTGACACGGTGGCTGCGATGATGGGCTCAAGTAATAGTAGGGATCATGGAGCTGGCATGGGATCGGGCAGTGTTTCATTCTGCTGTGCATGGGGTCGTTATGAGTCAGAAACGACTCAATGGCACCTAACAACAAAAAATATCTTGTGATGGCTTTAAAATGCTTAAGATAAGTTTATGTATCTTGAAAATATAGTTTAGTTTTGTAGCTCCCCCCACCCCAGGGGAAAAAAAAAAATAACCACTCAGTCCTTAAAATGAGACTAAGAGGACTCATTCAGGAAAAAAAAAGGGGGGGGGGACATATATTCAAATGCAGGCAGACACCAGCTCACATAGGTGAGAAATGATGACACCAACTAAAGAGCTTCTATCAAAGACAGAAATAGTCTGGGAAATAAAGAAATTATAATACAGTCGTTTGATTAGTTAGTCTTGGTTGAGGTCACAAGGAGGATGGGTTATGGGTGGAGATTGGACTTCTATTGGATAATTGAGTACAGAGGCTTACAGTAATTAATTTCAGGAACTAATTACACAGGTTTTCAGTCACATATCCTTTACGTGGAATTATAAAACACCACTGGTTGATGTTTAAACAGTTTTAATCAGATATCACAAGAATTTTGCAATAACTATCTTGATGCCCAAACCTCATTTCCCAGAAGCAGTTTGTTAAAACAAAAACCCTTTACATTGTCTGGGAGACTTTAGATAAGGCTGTCTCCAGGGCCCTTTCAAAATAATTCTCTTTATTACATCCTTGTCATGAAGAAACATTTCTTGGCCCATTTTATACAGAAAACAGCTGTGTCAGGATTCTCTTCCTTAGAGTTCCTTTCTTTCACATCTTGGGTTAGCCACAGAGAGAAATTACTTCTTAGTTTTTACAGCTTCCAACAATTAACAAGGCCACATGACAACAGACTGTGAAAACTGTGAGTTGGTAAGGTTGAATGTAGCTAAGTAAACATAAAGTCTCAAACAGGCAGGCAACTAAAAAGACCAGTTTAATTCAGCAAGAAATTAGTTTAATTCATTTAGTTTCAGTCAAAAAGGCTCCATGAACTTCTCCATTACATTAATTCAAATATATCACTTTTTAAAAATTCCTGATGCTACCATATGTAATATCTTAAAAATTACAACTTGAATTGCTCCAAGATTACAGGACAATCTTTTCATACTCTAGCCACAGTCATACTTGTAAAGACAAATTTAACTAATCTTTCCCTTACTATTACTGCCACCACCACAATTCCCCCTACCCCAACACCCACACACACAACTTTCTCAAATAATTTGCTTAATCTGTGCTCAAGATTTCTTTCACCCACCCAGCATAACCTACCCTTTGGGAAAAATCCGAAACGTTCACATTTAAAAAGAAATGGACTGGTAATAGCTAAGTGTGGAAGCATGCTTTTGAGCCTTGCCCCTTGTTTTTGTACCAGATTTGTTCTTGTAATCTCCTCAAGTCTCTATTTCCACAAGCACAAAATAAAAACAGTTGGAATTAAGGATTTCTGAAATCCATTCCCTTTCTGGTTACCACCCTCAGAGATATTTGCAACATGTGTCATCCTTCATTCACTCAGTTTTATGTAGTACCTTAGACAAGTAGTCAAATACTGTAAATTTAATACTTACTCATTAAGCAACTATTGATTGAACACCTACTCCATGCCAGTCACTGTTCCGGTGCTTGAAATATCAGTTACTGTAAAAGCTACTAACTGATATAGAAAAACCAAAAACCAAACCCACTGCCATCTAGTAGATTCCCACTCATAGTGACCCTCTTTGGGTTTCCAAGTTGGTAAATCTTTACCGAAGTAGATTGCCCAGTCCTCCTTCTGCAGAGTGGCTGGTGGGTTTGAAACAACAACTTTCTGTTTAGCAGTCAGATGCCTTAGGCACTATACCACTAGAGCTTCTTAACTGCTATAGAAGCACTGAAGAAAAGACAACTAAGAGAGTTAATGACACTTCCTTAATTTGATCAAGAGATCAAGCAGTCTCTTGAAAGCAGTAGAAATTCTCCGAGAAGAGAAAGAGAGGTAGTACTAAATCCTTTCTAAGCATAAAAGCAGTGATATCAAAGATTTGTTGAGTGTTTTCAGCGGCTGAAGGAGGGCAAACGCAGAATGTGTTAGTCTATGTATTCACAACACTTGTCCCAATTATGGAGTCCTTGAGTGATGTAAACGGACAAGAAGCTTAGCTGCTAACCGGAAGGCTGGGTGTTCAAGTCCATGGGGAGAAGAGGGGGGCCAGATAATCTAAATCCAAAAAAATCAGCCATTGAAACCCCTAGGGAGCACAATTCTACACTGACACACGGGGATCGCCGTGCACCACACTGAACTACATGGCAAGTGGTTAACTCAGTTATAATTTGGCATAACTGTGTGAGATTATTTGATTTACACGTCTCCCTCGCTACTCCACAAGCTCCACAAGAACAGGAAAGGAATCTGCTTTTGCTCACCATCACGTGTTTGATGATTAATAAACGTTCAGGAGTGAATAAAGGATCTGCTTCTGAAAAGTAAAATATGTCATTTCCCAAATATCTTGAAAAAGAACCTTTTCTAATGAAAAAGAAATCATGGTGCTTTCCCCTTTTTCTGGGGGACCAATCCCTGCAGCTCCCTTGGGTTCACTGTGAAGAGTCAAACCATAGAGTGGAGCTCTGTTTCCGTCACCCCCTCGGGGACACCTAAGTAATACAAATCCCCTGGTGTTGCCGAGTCATAAGGACAGGGAGCTGAAGATGAGCTCACACCATCCCAAGGTCCCACAAGCGGTCACACCCAAACGCCAAAGCCTGGATTATCTCTGGTCCAGCGACGCCGTCGCGGCCTCGGGTAGTTGTGCACAGAAATGAAATAGCTGGATGTTGCAGGACAGAAAAATAACCTGACTACTGTCAGGACCATACCAAACCAAAGCCACTGCAATTAAGTTGATTCCCATTCACAGCGACCCTACAGTACATGGTATAACTGCCCCACGGTTTTCAAGGCTGTAAATCTTAACGGAAGCCGACTGCCTCAGCTTCCTCCCGCAGAAGTGCCAGTACGTTCAAACCGCGAATCTTTTTAACCACAGCGCCACAAAAGCTCCCTTCAAGACTGACAGAAGACGACAAAACCAATAAGCAGGTAAATTACATATAGCATGGCTCGCTGCTGACAGGCGGGAAATCCCCATACACTCACAGTACAACTCACTGGACCACTCCCTCCTCCCCCGGGCCGCGCCTAGTAGTAGTGGTAGCGCGCCATCTACCGGCCGCAGCTGTGTCACCTTGCGATTCCGCTGTTATCCCACCCCTACCCCCAAACCACGCCCAGGCTCGCGAGAATAAGAACGGACATCTCCGGAAAGGACTCTGCGGAACGGAACTTCCTCCTCCTATGGTTCCTTGACGGAGGGTTTTGATTCACCGGAAGGAATTGTAGTTAAAGGCACAGTAAAAGAAAAGGAGGTGCTGTTAATTTGAGTAGGCCTACGGGACCAAGCGGAATTCGTGGTTCTCACTCCACACAGAGAGCATCCTGGGAGGCGGAAGAATTCGGAAGTTCCAGTAGCCGACTAGAGCGCCTGACAAATCGCATGGTAGGCGAGCACACGGCGTGTTGCTGAAGCGTGTAGTGTGTGCGCCAAGGTCAGAGGTGGTCGAAACTCGGCATCGGTGTAGTACCTGATACCGCGTGTGAGGAGCCATGGTTGGGAGATCCCGGCGGCGCGCAGCGGCCAAGTGGGCAACTGTACGGGCCAATTCGGGACGCAGCCCGGCGGACGAAAAAGACGACGACGCCGAATTGCCACCTTCACCCGGGGACTCCAGCTACTACCAAGACCAGGTAGATGATTTCCATGAGGCACGATCCCGGGCTGTCTTGACTAAGGGCTGGAATGAAGTAGACAGTGGGGACGAGGAGGAGGATGGCGATGAAGAGGAGGAGGTACTAGGCCTAGATATTGACGATGAGGACGATGAAGATGGTGAAAGTGTTGGGGGTGAGGAGGATGAAAGTGATGATGATGGTGGAAGCTCCATGCAGAGCGAGACTGAGGCCTCTGTGGATCCCAGTTTGTCGTGGGGTCAGAGGAAGAAACTTTATTATGACACGGACTATAGCCCCAAGTCCCGAGGCCGCCAGAGTCAACAAGAAATAGAGGAGGAAGAAAGAGAGGAGGAAGAGGAAGCACAGATCATCCAACGGCGGCTAACTCAAGCTCTTCAAGAGGATGATTTTGGAGTCACTTGGGTGGAGGCTTTTGCAAAACCGTCGCCCCAGGTAGATGAGGTCGGGACACAGGTTGTGAAGGATTTAACGAAAGTTTCGGTGAAAGAGAAGCTGAAAATGCTGCGGAAGGAATCACCAGAGCTCTTGGAGTTGATAGAAGACTTGAAAGGCAAATTGACAGAGTTGAAGGATGAGTTGGAGCCATTGCTAAGGTTGGTGGAGCAAGGAATCATTCCACCAGGAAAAGGAAGCCAATACTTGAGGACCAAGTACAACCTCTACTTGAACTACTGTTCCAACATTAGTTTTTATTTGATCCTGAAAGCTAGGAGAGTTCCTGCACATGGACATCCTGTCATAGAAAGGCTTGTTACCTACAGAAATTTGATCAACAAGCTGTCATTTGTGGATCAGAGGCTGTCCTCTGAAATTCGTCATCTACTTAAACTTAAAGATGGTACTGGAAAGAAAGAATTTAATTTCAAAGTAAAATCCACCAAGGCCAAGCCAAAGTCTGTTTCAGAGACTTCTGCTGCTACTTCTGATGTTACAGAGCTTTCTGATGATTCTAATTTTGTTAAGGAAGCTGCCCTGAAATACTGTAAGGAAATAGAAGAGGGACAAAAGTTGAAGAGGAAGAAAGAAGAAAGCACTGAAGAACAGGCTCTTGAAGATCAAAATGCAAAGAGAGCCATTACCTATCAGATTGCTAAAAATAGAGGACTTACACCTAGGAGAAAGAAGATTGATCGAAATCCCAGAGTGAAACACCGGGAGAAGTTCAGAAGAGCCAAAATTCGCAGAAGAGGCCAAGTTCGTGAAGTACGCAGAGAAGAGCAACGTTACAGTGGTGAATTATCTGGCATCCGTGCAGGAGTTAAAAAGAGCATTAAACTTAAATGAAAATTTTTGCTTAAGATTTTTGGCAATTTTGAATAAATAAGTTTTCTTAACGAGTAAAGTGCTTGTATTTGTATATAATACTTAAGCTTAAATTTCAAAAATTTTTATCAGAGAAACTTGGTTGGGTTATTGCACAATTTCTTTGTCTTACCTTAATGTCATACTAAGAACTGTGGAAGCAATATAAAGGTACTTGGGAAAAGTTTTGTAAAGTTCTCTAATATTAGCTTAGAAAATTTTCAATGCTAGTTGTAGAGTAGAAATCAAACTTAAAACACTTTTTCTGCTTTTCACATAAACTGAAGTGAATATACCATTGGATGTTATTTGTAAGATAGTATGTAAAGTAATTGTAACATTTCACTCAGCTAACCATAATCTGGGTAGGATACTGGTTAATATACAGGTTTAATATAATGGATTTTTTTTTCTTTTTTTTTTTACATTTTGTGTAGTAAAAGCTTAAAATTGAAGAAGAGCTTTGGTTAATAGTCTATAATGTAAATAAGGTAAAAATTCTATTTTTCTTTTTGTACTGGTAACTTAGAATAGTTGGTTTGTACATACACTCCACTTGCTGAAAATTTGGTATGATTACCCACCAGCCACTCCTCGGAAGGAGGGCTGGGCAATCCTACTTCCGTAGTGATACTGCCTCGGAAACCCAAGGAGGGGTCGCTATGAGTCGGGGCCGACTCGACGGCACATAACAACAACTACAAGGTAAGGAGCTGTGGTAGCATAGTGCCTAAGGCACTTGATTGCTAACCAGAAGGTTGGCGGTTCAAACCCACCAGCCGCCACTCCTTGGAAGGACGATGGGGCAGTCTACTTCCGTAGTGATACTGCCTCGGAAACCCAAGGAGGGGTCACTATGAGTCAGGTCCGACTCCACGGCACATAACAACACCACAAGGTAAGTGGCAACTTCAAGTGGTGACAAAATTACGTTTTCCTTACAGTTTCTCTGGTATTTTTACACGAGGATCATGGTGACATGGTGAACTTAAAAATACTTAGGATGACTATTATGCCAGAGAAGAAAATAAGAGGGCTGGGTGAAGGAGAGCACAAAAGAAGTTTGTTACTGATTGTAAATAAACGGAAATACCACTGTTGGAGAGATGATCAGTGGTTAATATTTATTACACATTTCCCAGGTAACAATTGTGTATTACCTTATTTAATCCTTAAAATAACTTGTGAAATGACAGTGTTGTCCGTATCACAGATGAGGATGCTGAAGCACAGAGAGGTTGACTTTGTCAAGGACATACAAAAACAAAACCAAACTTACTGCCGTCAAGTCAGATGTGACTCATAGTGGCCCCTCAGATTTCTGAGGCAGTATCACTACAGAAGTGGATTGCCCAACCTTTCTTCCGAGGAGTGGTTGGTGGGTTTGAACTTCCAGCCATCTGGCTAGCAGTCAAATGCCTTAGGCACTACGCCACCAGAGCTCCCGTCAAGGACACATGCTTGGGATTTGTATCCAAGCTGGCTTCATTTGAGCATTCATTCTCTTCAACCTCTGGGCTATAGCTGCTTTCTCAGAGTGGTACACATGCCAAATTATCTTTTGTTTTCTTATGAACAAAAAAGGTTGGAAATAAATGCTAACATTTAATAGGTGCTTAGAAAGCACTCTTGTTAGGTGCCATAGAGTCAGCTCTGACTCAGCAGCTCTATGTACAACAGAACGAAACACTGCCCAGTCCTGCGGCAGCCCCATGATCCTTGCTATACCTGAGCCCATTGTTGCAGCCACTGTGTCAATCCATCTCATAGAGGGCTTGTCCTTTTTTGTTGACCCTCCACTTTACCAAGCATGATATCCTTCTCCAGGGAATGATCCCTTCTTACAACATGATCAATGTAGGTGAGATGGAGTCTGGCCATTCTCGCTTCCAAGAAGCATTCCAGCTACACTTCTTCCAGGACAGATTTGTTAGTTCTTTTGGCAGTCCGTGGTATGTTCAGTATTCTTCACCAGCACCACAACTCAAAAGCATCAACTCTTCTTTGGTCGTCCTTATTGATTGTGCAGCTGTCACATGCATATATATTAAGCACTATATGCTGACTCAGGAGCTCTGGTGGAGTAGTGCCTAAGGCATTTGACTGTTAACCAGAAGGCTGGTGGTTCAAACCCACCAGCCACTCCTCCGAAGGAAGAATGGGCAATCGACTTCTGTAGAGATACTGCCTTGGAAACCCAAGAAGGGATTGCTATGAGCAGGATCGAGTCAACGGCAGTGAGTTTGGTTTAGTTTTTAATATGCTGACTGACTTCCTTATTCCTTACAACAACCCTGTGTGGTAAATTCTATTGTTATCCATATTTTAAAGATGAGGAAATTGGCAAAGTGAAGTAAGTCACTTTCCCAGGATCAAATGACTGTAAAATGGCAGAGACAGGATTCCAACCCAGCCTTTTTGGCTTCAGAGCTGTATTCTATACTTCCTCTTCTAATACAGTAGAAAAAGTGCAAGTCTGGGAGTTAATTTCCCAGGACGATTTTGAATTAATTACTTGAGCATAAGTTTCATTTCATTCACCTGTATGATGCTGTTACATCTACCTCAGAAACAATATAGTAGTAGTTAACAATGCACTCCAGTTAAGATTACCTGGGTTCCTAATGCACCTCCATTGTTTGGTAGCCATGACTTTGGACAAGTTTGATTTCTCTATTCCTCAGTTTTCTCACCTAAAATGTAGTAGTACCTACTTCATACAGTAGTTATGAGGATTAAGTGAATTAATATATTTAAAGTGCTTAGAATAGTGCCTGTTACTATATAACATCTATTAAGTTTTGGCAGCTATTTCCTTTTTTACTTTTACATCTATTAAGTTTTGGCAGCTATTTTTTACTTTTACATGCAAACTTCAAGAGTGAACTGTTCTTTGACCATATCTGTACATATATAAGGGTTGCTATAGAAAAAAAAATCTTGGAAATAGAACTGCTGAGTTCCTAGTCTGTACATTTTCACTTTCACTAAATATTGTCCAACTGCTCACAACAATTTATGTTGTCAAGACTTAATTTTTAAAAATACAACAAGTGTAAAATTGTATCTGATTTTAATTTGTAGTTCCCCAATTAATTAGTAAGATTGAGTATCTTATTTTTACAGCCCTTAGATTTCCTTAAGAAGCCCTGATGGAGCTTTGGTTAAAGCATTGGGCTGCTAACCGAAAGGTCAGCAGTTTGAACCCACCAGCCGCTCTGCAGAAGAAATACGGGCCGTCAGCTTCCATAAAGATATACCACCTTGGAAACCCTATGGGGCAGTTCTCCTCTGTCCTATAGGGTCACTATGAGAATCAGCTTGACACAGTGCATTTGGTTTTGGTTTGGTAGATTTCCTTAGCTCAATTCTCTAAAGTATTGTCTTTTTTCTTATTGTCTGATTTTTTGTTTGTTTAATCAAGTTGCTAATGCTTTGTTATGTTAAGTTTTTTACCTTTCTATAAAATGTATTTTTTCATTATCAAGGTTTTTAATTTTGATGTAGTTACTTGAGCTATATGTTGCAAATAATACATTTTCCTGATTCTTTCAGCTATGTATTCTTGAAGGGGGGGGGGGCTTGATACTTTTTTCAAAGTGAGGCTTTAAATGATAGTAAGTATTAAGAATTAACAATTATTAAATTATAAAACAAAAAACAGGAGGAAAGTAATTATAAGCTAGTGAAATGTGCTGCCTGAAAGGCAATATAAGGTAACAATTACAATCTTAGCCTCTGGAGCCAAACTGAGTTAAATCCCAATTCCACCACTTACCATGTGCCTCTGTTTTACTTAACCTCTCTGTGCCCCAATTTCCTCACCAACCAGAAACAAAACCCACTGCCATCGAGTTGACTCCAACTCATTGTGACCCTCTAGGACAGTAGAACTGCCCCATACAGTTTCCAAGGCATAAATCTACAGAAAGCGGCCTCATGTTTCTCCCATGGAAGGGCTGCTGAGTTCAAACCAAGGAACTTTTTGTTATCAGCCAAATGCTTTAACCACAACTCCACCTGAGCTCTCACATGGGATAATATATGATTATTGGGACCCTTTGAATTGTTAATCCATACACAGTGAACCCTTTGAAAGCTGGAACTTGAGGGGACTGCCTTATTTTTCTGGGCCTCACAAGTTTTCCGCCTGTGATGGTACAATCTTACCACTTATCTATCACTTTCTATTATTGGAAAATACTTGAGTTTTCCTCTAACAGGTTTCCGCCTACACAGGTTCTGATTTTTGTGGGTTTTACTGTATATTTAGAACAACACCTGTGAGGTAGTAAATGTTAGTTACTCTTACTTTAAAAAAAAAGCTGATTTCCACCACTGGAAGAATGACTTCATTTTCTCCTTGTTTCTATCACTGTGATTAAACTTGAGTGCCTACGGATAATTGGTAAATTTTAAATGCTTATTCCTGTGCCCTATGTCCAGATATTCTGATCAGCCAGCCTGGTGTGGGGCTAGAGATTTTCATATTTTTAACAGGCACCCCAGACAATTCTGATGCAGATGATCTACAGAACTCATTTTTGGGAAACTTCTTTGGACGCACTGATTTTTAGGTTGCTCTTAGTATTAACACACGCATGAATGCAGTTAAGTAAAAAAATGAAATAATGGTACTATAAGACTACAAAACCTCAAGGATTGGTTCTTAACCTTTTGAGCCAATTAGTCCCATATGATCTGTTGAAAGCAATGGACTCTCCCCCCTGGAACAATAATACTGGCCTGGGTACATAATTTTACATAGCACTGAAGTAGATTCCTGGACTCCCTGAAGTCAGGAGTCCAGGACCTTAGGGAACACTACACTTGGGGAATGCTCCTTTTACCCTTAAAGATGGCCAGTGATTACTTTATCTTGGGTGGGGGAGGGGATTATACAAGTAGCTAAATGACTGAATAGAACTAAAGAATTTTATTGGCACCTGATTTTCATATTTCTTGAAAAAACTTTTGGACGG